TTTTTCTAAGTATAAAAATATCTTCCAATTTGTTTTATTCGTGGAACATAGCACTTCTGCTTACAAGGACACTCAGCCGCCTGCTCTGCCGGCTCAGGAAGTAGTAGTTCGTTTGAGGCCGGGTCCCTCCCTGTCCTTTCAGGCCTTCGTTATTTTAGGACCCTCCTTTGTGTGTGTGTGTGTGGGGGGGTCCACCCCACCCCAGGCTCTCCGCCCCCAGATTCCCTCTGTTTCACCACGATGTCTGGGAGTGCGGGCTCTGAGCAGCGTCCTAGGGACAGGACACTCCAGGACAGGCCATCTGGCTCCACGGTCAGTCAGCTGTTACTCAGTGTTTGCCTGGTGCTGTTGTTTTTCCCCGTTGGTAAAGTACACATAACAAGATTTACTATGTTAACCTTTTTTAAGTGTCCAGTTCGGTGGCGTTCGGGACATTTACATAGTTGTGCAGCCGTCACCACCGTCGTCTCCAGAACTTTCCATCTTCCCAAACTGAGACTCTGTCCCCATGAAACACTAACCCCCTCGCCTCCCCCAGCCCCTCACCACCATCTACTTCCTGTCTCTGTGAACCTCACTCCTCTAAGGACCTCGTATCAGTGGGGTCACACAGTGTGTGTCCTTTGTGACTGGCTGATTTCATCAGCACAGTGCCCTCAGGGTCCATCCACGCTGTAGCAGGTGACAGAATTCCTTCCTTTCTAAGGCTGAGTAGCATTCCCCTGTATGACGGGCCCCACTGTGTTTGCCCATCATGTTGACGGGCACCGGGCTGCTCCCGCCTCCTGGCGGCTGTGAGCATGGGGGTACAGACATGTCTTCCCCACTGCCGGGACATTCTCTGTCCATCAGTCGCTCAGTGCGTTGAGTGCTGTGTGGCCGTGGCCCGGAACTGGCAAGTCTTCCTGCAGCATCTCGGGGCTTTCTGGCCCTTCGTCCCCCGCAGACCGAGGCCAGGGTCCCGACCCGTCCTGCCTTGTGTGGCCCCAGTGCCCATGGGGCCCCGGGGGTGGGGCAGGAGGACCCTGAGCCGTGATGGATTTGGGGTTCTGCTGGAGGGAGCCTGGCTGGCCGCATGCCACTCGAGAAGTGGAGACAGCACCCACGTGGCCTGGGCGCCACAGACAGGAGCGCTCGGAGGGGCGGCACCTCAGGCAAAAACCAAACAAACCGACCCCCTGGGTGTTTTGGGCTAAGGGCCTTTGAGGGGTTTACTTGGAGGGAGGAGCAGGGGGAGGGAGAGCAGGTGGGCATGGCCGGAGCTGCCCGAGGGCGCCCTGGGGTACATGAGGCCCAGCTCCCCGGACCCAAGTGCCCACTCACCTGCACGGACGCGGGAGCCTGGGAAGGTGGGAGGAGATGGGCCACTGGCTCTTTCTCAGCATCTGTGAAAACAGCAGCCTGGTGGCATGCTTGAGTGACTTCCCACCCGGGCTGTGACAGACCAGCCTGGGTTGCACTGGAAATGAAGGCAGGAGCTGGGGAAGAGCGCGGCCACAGCACCGCGTTGGCCTCCGGTGGGAAGCAGGCGCCTGGCTCTGGCACCCGCTCACCCCAGCTGTTTCAACCCCCTTTTCCTTTTCTGTGGAGCCCAGTGTTGAACTGAAACGCCCAGGGTTGGGGCAGGCGGCAGAGCAAGGCAGCAGGTCAGGTCCCACCCGGGGCACCCCAGCCTCTCCTGGCAGCTTCTCCAGCTCCCGGTGGCCCCTGCTGCTTGTGTGGTGGGCACGGCCAGGCGGGCCACGCTCTCAGCGCGGCTCTGCGTGTGGATTCCCGTGTTGATGGCATCCCAGTGCTGCCTGTGGTCCGATTTGTGGGGGTTTATTAGCAGGTTCCTGTGCCTTCAGTCCCTCTCTGTCTCCACCTCCATCCTAAATCCAGTCAGACCTTGTCCAGTCTGAGCCTATGACAGAACCGCCTGTTAAAACACTGGCCGCTGGGCGCCAGCCACGGGTCCGACTCCCACACGTTCACAGGTGCCACTGGCCCATTGGCAGTCGGAGACGGGCTGCCCCCGGCTGCCCTCCACACGAGAGTTCCCCGGAGCGAGCACCGCAGACGTAAGCCAGTGATGAAGGCCGCTCTGGACCTTCTGTGCCCCCCGGAGACCGTGCGCGCCCTTCCCTTCTCCCACGCCCCCTGCCCACCCGCACCTCTCTCTGCCTTGGTCTTGCTGCATCCTGGACCCCATTTGGTCCTGTCTCAGGACCTTGGCACGTCCTGTCCTTTTGCCTCAAACTCTCTTCCCACAGACCTTTGCACGGCTGTCTGTCTCCGAACCCTCTGCCCCGTTCTCTCCGAGGCTCGTAGCGCGTCTGTGATGAGCATATGTGATGGTTTGCCTGCAGCCTGTCTCCCGGCCAGTCAGCAGGTCCCCATGAACTGTAACCCTAAGCTTCCCGCTGCTGAACCCGAGCCGTCGGTCATGCTGGGCGCTCAGCACACACTGAGGGTGCTGGGTGAACGGACGAACGAACGAATGAACACAGAACGGCCGGTGAGAGAAACCCGTCCCCGCTGGGCTCGTAAATGTAACCCAGCAGGGCCTCCCACCATTTTTCTTTTAAAAGAAGAAACAAAAACAAAAAAAATGACACAAAGCAAGAAGTAGCCCCTTTGCGTGCCAGCTGGGGTGGGGCCCAGCACTGCACCAGCCCTGGTGACAGAGGCCAGTGTCCCGAGAAGGATGGCCCTTTGTGCTCTGTGGGGCCCCGTCCTCGGCTCGCACAATGGTTTCCTCTGACGCCTCGGAGGCCTCGGGCTTCTGGGGAAAAGGGGGTCCTAGCAGCCCCGGGCCTGTGCCCCCTGGGCTCCAGGTCCCCTCCGTCTTGCCCTGCAGCACCAGCCACCGTGCCCCCTTTTTGGAGATGCACCCTAGGAGAGCGGGGGCACAGCCACCGCGGGTTGGCTCTAAGACACCATTGTCCCCTGGGTCCCTGTGGTCTTTAGCGGCTGATGGGTGGTCCTGGCCCCGCCTGGCAGCCATTCGAGGCGGTGGCTTCCTTGGTCCCCTACAATGCGAGAAGGAGAGGCCAGTCAGTCCTCCCCAGACCCCCTGTGTCAAGCAAAGCTCCCCCAACCTCAGACTCATGGTCCCTGAGCCCCTCGTCGGCGAGGCCTCCACGGGTGCTGGCAGGAGAGCCGTTTGGTACAACCCTGGAAAACTGTGTTTAGAAAACCTACGTGTGCCCCGTGAAGCAGCAAACGCCACCCTTAGGCATTTCCCCGTGAGAGGTGAGGGCGGATAAGTCCCATACAGAGTGTTCATGGCAGCATTCTGTGTCACAGCCTGAAACCAGAAACAGCCCATCACCCACGGGGCGGATCACCACTGTGAGGCCATGAGATCGAATGGACTGAACCCAGCAGCCCACAGACGCACGCTGAGCGGTGGCGAGTGTGCTGCATGATTCTGTTTCATGCCCACAGGACCTCGGGACCTGCCCCTGTCGGGGGCCCCGGGAGTTCCTGGGACCTGGAAACCTTAATCTGAGTGTCAGGAAAACTCACCAAGCTGCACACTCAGGATTCATGTTAATGTTTGCGAGTTACAGCTCCACAGTCAGGATTTGAGACGAACGTAAGCAGTGGGAGGACCAGCCGAGACGGGAGCCGCTGTGCCAGCCAGTGGTGACCCGGTGACCGTGACTGCTGACGAGTCATCACCGCCCCCTCCCCAAGAGCTCTGGGCCCCCTTTGAGAAAATGTGGCAAAGGTTCTGGATGTTGTCTGCTGTCCCTTCACCCCTAAAATCCAGGTGGCTGGCTCTGCAGCGTCCTTCTGCCCCAGCAAAGCGAGGGAGCACCCCCAGCCTCCTGGGGAGGACAGGACAGTGTCTTCTGACTTCAGGACCTTGTCGAGTGGACGCTGGTGTTTCTTCTCCCATGTACCCAGCAGTCTGGACCCCCTCCAGGGGCGTGAGGGCACGGTCGGGCCGGGTGGGGGTGACCAGTGAGGCCGGCAGCAGGACTTGGGGGCTCTGCGCTCAGCCTGGGTGCTGGAGTCCGGCAGGCTTTCCGGCTGGCGCAGGTCTTCAGGGTGGGCGCTCCGGCGGCTCTGCCTCTGCTCACAGCGCCTCCGTTTCCCTCGAAACTCCCCGGTTGACCAGTTCTCCCAGCCCTCCGGCACCAATTATGGAGTCATCACCTGTGTGATGTTTTCTTCAGACAGGCAGCTCTGTGCCTCAGTTATCACCAAGATAATGAGTCATTGATTTCAACAAGAATGGCTTCCATGACTCATCGCAATCCATTCTCTCCCGCATTCACGATTTTGCCAATGAGAGCTATTCTTCAAGCTCATTGACACCCCGCGGGAACAAAGCCGGCTGTGTGGATCTGTCGTAGCTGAATCGTGTAACTAACAGGCTGCACCATTCGTGCAGGACGGGGACCTGCGTGGTCCGTGCACGGCGGCTGCACTGCAGGCCATCGCCCACGCGGCTGAAAGGGACCTTGTCCAGGACCTCTCGGCAGGGCCTGACCGTCCGTCCATTGAAGGCGGGCCCAGGGAGCTTGGGTGCTCCCCGCAGGGGGATGGGCCCTGAGGCGACACAGGCAGCACGGCTCCTTGGGCATGGTGCAGGCGTGCTGGGGGTGGGGAGTGCTGCTCGGGGAGCGCCCTGTGGCAGGGGAGGGACAGGCAGCTGATGGGGACAGAGGCAGAGGTGCAGAGATGCCCCACGGCATCCTCGAGTCTGACTCGTGGGTGCAGTCAGGGAAACCGAGGCCCCGAGAGGCCAACCTGAGGTCCGTAAGGAGCGGGGTGAAGACCTGCCTGGCGGTGGCGGGCCCCACTTTTCTGCAGACCAGGCCTGGGCAGCAACTCCACCACCGCTGGCCCGGCTGAGGGTCCTCCCGCCTCTGGACTGTGCCGCCCAGCGGGGCCTGAGCAAGGGAGCCAGCGGCCCCAGGTGGCGGCAGTGTTGTCCCCACATGACAGACCCCTTCTGCTGTCACCCTACACATCCCCCGTGACCTTTCTCATTCTGTTTCCCGAAGGTGTATGTGAACGGAGACTGGGTGACCAGCATCAGCGAGGGTGGCAGCTTTGGGGAGCTTGCCCTCATCTACGGCACCCCCAGGGCGGCCACTGTGAAAGCCAAGACTGACCTTAAGCTCTGGGGCATCGACCGTGACAGCTACCGCCGCATCCTCATGGTGAGTGGGCTCTGGTGCGGGGCTTCGCCGGGCCAGGCCCAGCACCGCCTGCCTTGTGGGCAGGGCCTTCGCCATGGTGGGAGGTGCTGGAGGGACTCCGGGAAGTCTCCTGCAGGGTGGTCGGGTGCTTTTCCTTCCTCCCCTCTCCTAGCTGTGGGGAGTGTGTCGCAATGGCTGGACCGCCAGCTGCCATCCTGGACTGTGACGTTACTTTGAGCATGAATGCCATTTACATGAATCCAGTCGTGACAATTCCTGGGGGACACATATAGCAGAGGGGGGGTGCAGGCGGCAAGAGCTGGGGAGGGGCTGCTGTGCTGCAGAGCAGGCGCAGAGACCCCTCTCACAACAAGGTGGCAATCGAGCACAGGCCTCGGAGCAGGGGGCCAGCGGCTGTCCAGAAGTGTGTTTGGGCAGTGAGAGCAGCAGAGGCCTGGGGACGAGCTTGGACCCGCCGGGAGGCCGGCGTGGGTGGACTGTAGGGTCCCGTGCAGGAGGGCTGCACCTGTGGGCCAGGAGACCCTCGGGAGTCTGAGCAGAGGGTGACAGAGCCAACATGGACCCACTTACCTGTAGGCCTGCTGGGTAAGGGCGGGCAGCCTGACTCAGGGATCTGGCAGCCGTGCCGATGGGGGGAGATCCCCTGTGGTCACAGGTGTCCAGTCCCTTCCCTCCCATCACTGGGCACAGGCTGCTGGGTGCCAAGCGCCCCGTGCTTTGGGAAGTCACGCCCTTTGGCTACCTGTGTTCACCATGGTCACCATGGGCCAGCCTCTCTACTGAGCTGCCAGGTGGTCCAGGAACACCTAAGCAGCTGGCCATGTTGCTCAGGGCAGCCCCAGGGCGAGCTCTGCTGACTGTTTGCTCAGAGCCAGTCCCGCCAGGAGGGAGGTGATGAAGGCGAGCATGTTGCCAGGGACCTGTGACCTCTCCCCACGGGTCCTCCCGGGGGCTGGATGTGTCCATGCTTGCTGCGCGCACCCTACGAGGCCTGGCCATCTCCCCGGAGGCCCCTGTGCTTCAGGGGTGGGGAGGCCGCCAGAAAGGCCAGGGACTGTGGGGCCGGCCCTGTGAGCTCAGTTCGGTATGTGAGCCTAGAGCATCCCGACGGGAATGAGGGGCCGGGGTGTGCCTGGCCGTCATGGTCCCACGGGAGTGACCGGTCTGTCACGATGCCAGGAGAGGTCAGCACGGTGTTTGGACAGGTATGTCACCTGGCTCTCCGCGAGAGGAGTTCCTTGTCCGCACACTTGGCCAGTGTCACTGAGTGCCCACCGTGGACACACCAGGAATGTCCCTGTCTCCCCCAGGGTGGTGCCAGTGGCAATGACGTTCTCTCTTTTCTTTGTTTTGAACCTGCAACCCCTGAGCTGTCCATGTTTCCACGTGGGCGGGGACCCCTGAGCATCCTTCCTCGGAGCACCCACACTTCCTGTCTCCTCTGGACGCACCTGGCCCGTGTTGCGTAATCCATTGTTTCTCCCCGTCTACACGGAGCCCTTCTTGGCTGTGGGATTTTTGTGGCTAGAACCTTACATTTAGGGAAGTTTCCAAACCACCGCAGCAGCTGGTGCATCCTCGGTGCTAATTCTGGGTCCCTGTGCCCTAAGAATAGCCCAACCGTGCTTGGAGGCCACAGGGCCTGGCGGACCCCGCTCAGCAGGGCACATCTCACAGGATGTTTCCGCTTTTGCATCAGGCTGTGACTTGGGCAACTGGATATCATGGATGAGTGAATTGCCACACATCCACTTAGCACGAAGCTGGAACGTGTCGAGGGGACATGGGAATTGGGGGGGAGGTCACTGGTGTTCCCAGGGAGAGGGCCACCTCCCGAGATGTTAGCTCGGACCCTGCATTCGGACTGTTGGTGTCGCCGCCTGTCTGGTCTGGAAGTCCTCCAGAATGCCCCCTCTTCCCACCACTGCTCCCCGTGGTGCAGAGGGAAGGACGGAGCTCAGCCATGCCCACCACGTGCCCAGTCACGGGACTGGGGCCCTCCCCTCCTCCAGGCCCCAGCACAGGGCTGGCGCTCCCCCAATGCTCCCTTCTTTCTCTGAAGTTTCAGGACCCTCTGTTCACCTAAATCTTACATGGAACCTGGGTGTTTGGAACGAATGAGTAGAATTGTGGTAGAGGCCGGGTGGGTTGTCCAGATCCCCCCTGCTTGGGATGGCCCGAGACCCTCGGCACCTGGGTCCTGATTCACAGCGCCCAGACCCCACCTGCTTGCCGGCTCCCCATCCAGGAACCCCTCCTTGTCTCCTTTGCCCCAGCGGCTGCTGTTAATTCTGCTTTGGGGCACATCTCGGGGGTGCTCTGAGCCTCCCTTCTTCCGATCTGAGTGAAGATGGGGGATGGTCATTGGTGGTACCGGGCTGCACACAGGGGGGTGCTGGGCGGCCTGTGCCTGCCCCTCTGGAGAGGAGAAGATACTGAGCATGTTCCCAGCACGGTGTGGGACTCTGTGGTGTGGGCATCGATTCTGGATCGAGACCGTCCTGTTTTAACCCTGACCCTACCACTTAGCAGCCTCGTGGACGTGAGCAGGTTATGACCCCTCCCTGAGCCTCCACACTCCTTTTAAGTGGAGACCTGGCGGGGCAGCGTAAGGAGTGACCCTTGGGGTGCCATTTCTAGCAGCGTCGGGAAGGTCCTGTTCACCTCTTCCCAGGGGTGGGGCCACTGGGGACTGGCCCACAGTGAGTGCCTGTTTGCAGAGGTCTCTATCCCCATCTGATGAAGGGCAAGTCGTTCTGAGGCTGGTACCCCTGCCTCTCAACAGGAAGCAGACCAGGAACCTTCCAGACTGAGGTGGACAGAGCAGTGGTGGGAAGTCAGGAGAGCCCAGATCAGAGACTCAGAGAACGTGGTGCCAGACTGACCGCCTCCTGCTGGAGAAACAAGGCCCAGGGAGGGTGAGACTGGTCTAGGAGTGTGGGTGTTACGGGCTGGACTTGGTGTGTGCTGACCCTCTCTCAGTCCATTGTACTCGGTAAGAGGTACACCACTACTGTCACCATCATCACCACCATCACCACCACCATCACCATCACCATCACTACCACCATCACCACCACCATCACCACCACCACCATCACCATCACCACCACCACCACCATCACCATCACCTCATCACTTCAATCAGCAACATAAAGAACAGTTGTTGAGATTCTCTGTCCGTACAGTGGCCCGATAAGCCCATGATGTTCATAGTCTCCATTTCACTGAGGCTCAAAGATATAGGTGGCACACCAGAACCCACACGTGTGCAGCTTGGTGAGGGCCGTCCTCGCTCAGGCAGGCAGCCTGTGTGTCCTCTCTGCTGAGGCCCTGGAAGATGTGGCGGGGTGGGGGGGCACCCTTAGGGCTCATGCTCACTGTGGGTGTCAGGCCTGAGCCGTGCCCTCTGGGTTTGATCTTCCCTCCTGTGAGGATTGGCTCAGCTTGTGTCTCTGGATGTTGAGGGAGACTCAGGGGACAAGTGGGGAGGCCGTGGTACCAGACACATGGGTCAGCTGCGCCATCCCGGAGCCCAGAACAGACAACCGTGGAAAAACCCTTTGTCCTGGGGACTAACATTCCTTCCCCCACTTCATTGCTGTTGCATTTTTGTCATAGTTTTCTGGGGACAGGCAGTTAGTGCCATGTGCTTCTTGTCTGGCCCTTTCTCCTTGATCCCGTTCCCGGTTTTCTCTCCCTTCCTCTGCCCGCTCCCACCCCTCCAGCAGGGGTGGCTGGACCAAAGGGTCTCCTGCCCCCACAAGCTATGTGTCTCACCCATCCCAGCAAAGTGGGCTGGGACAGAGGGTGTTGGAGACCGTGTCTCCTCACTGCTCACCAGCTTCTTCTGTGTCCCCCAGGCTGCTTGTCTGTCCCTCCCCGCCCCACAGAGGGGTTCCTGCTGTCCCCTATTTTCCCATGTGAGAAAGTTGCCTTAAACGGACCCTTTTTAAGGAGACGCCAGCAGACTTTCTAATCCGTGGAATCTGCTTTCAGGATTTAGAGCCGCAGTGCCCAGTGTGTCTGATAGTGGGGGGCACTGAGAGGCGGGGCCTGGAGGAGGGGCCCTGGAGACAGACAGGGCCAGGTGGGCTCCTGCTTCACCACTTGGAGGGGTGTAACTTGGACGCGCTCCTTGAAGGCGCTCCCTTCTCCGTTTTCTTTCCTCGGCTGGCGGGTGCTGTGAGAGCTGACCAAGGAAATGGGCGTGAGGGTGAGCGCAGGGTCGCTCGGGGCGCTAGGTAAACGCCAGAAGTGGTCTGCTTGAGACTCTGCGGTCCGGCGCCGCTTCGAGCAGCATCCCTGAAAGGAAGGTTCAGGGATGCCCTCAGGCGTTGGGCCTGCGCGCGCGCGCGCGCGCGCGTGTGTGTGTGTGTGTGTGTGTGTGTGTGTGTGTGTGTGTGTGTGTGTGTCAGGAGCCCTGCTGCCCACATTTCATTCTCTCTTCCTGACTCATCTCCCACAGTTGCTGAGTGCGTGAGACCCTGGCTGCGGGGACTGAGACCTGTGCACTTGGGTGCAGGGCTCAGCCTTCGTGAGGGGGGTCTGGGGGGCACCAGGAGGAACCGTCCAGGAGGGAGCGAGGCCAATGCCACCATGTCCTTTGCAGTGTAGCTTTGAAAATCACAAGCCGTCACACCTTAATATGCTCTTGGTTAGCTGGTCAGCCCTGTTCCACACAGACGTGACTGGGAGGAGGTGGGATTGTGGGGGCTGTCACACAGGCTGGCTGCCACACTGGGTGTAGCCAATACTCAAAACAGCAGCGGCTTAAGCCACATGGTTAACGTCTCACGTTCCAGAGCCTGGAAGGTCTGTGTAGGGGGTCAGTTCTTGGCTCCACGGGACCAGAGAACCAGCTTCTGTCACTTTGCTGCATTTCTGTTCACAAGGGCCTAAGACGGTTGCTGGTGCGGCAGCCATGACCTCCACATCCCAGCTGGCAGGAAGGAAGGAGGGGCCTATTCTCCTTAAGGCTACTGGTGTCATTTAGACCGTGCTCGTGGGAACATGGTCAGTCCTGCAGAAGCTGGAGGGATGCCTGGGGACACCTGTGTCATCGCAGTGTCCTGCCTTGGGGACAGGTACTGGGCTTCCGAACGGCGACAGCTCCTCAGCCCTTGGTCATCTGAGAACTCCAAGGACGTGGAGTGCTCGAAGGGTCTCCTTTGGGGAGTTCGGAGTCCCTTGGGACAGTTGGAACTGCCGGGAGGCTTGAGGCGTGAAGACCCACCTTATCTGTCCTCTGTCTCCCTGTCTCCCGAACAGGGCAGCACGCTGAGGAAACGCAAGATGTACGAGGAATTCCTCAGCAAGGTCTCCATCCTGGGTAGGTGGCGCCCCGCCCTGCATGGCATGTCCGTCCTGAGTACCTGCCGTTGGCCCAGCCACCTCCACAGTGCGTGGCCAGCAGGTTCTGTGTTCTTGGTGGGATGTGAGTTTGGGCCGTACACACGGTTTCACCCACACATGCTGCTCAGAGACAGTATGTGTGTGTGCACACTACTGTGTGTCAGGGCCAAGCCGTCTGCCCCTCCCGTGGGGCCCGGCCCCTTCATGGCCCAGTGTCTTTGTCCTCCACGTATGTGCTTCACTTGTCCATCCCCCGCCTCCCTCCGTGTCATCATCTCCAGCTCCTGGTCCATGTTGGTCAGCTTTGAGCTGAAAGTCATTTTTTTGTTATGGTGAAAGTGGCCAGCTGTGTTGAGCTGCTTTCCCTGGCTGGTTTCGGTTTCTTCCCAAGAATGGTTTCCCCTGGTGCCACCTCCACCTTTTTTCACCCTGGGGTCTGATAAACACGTGGGCTACGATTCCGTGGATTTTCAGGAGTGTCTGCAAAGTTCTGTCCAACAAGTGTTTCCACGTCTTACAGTTGCGTTAACGTGGTGATCAGCGTGTTCTGGGCCAGCCTGTCGCTCCCGGCAGTGATGGCTCCATGTCTGTGTCCAGCGCTCAGCACGAGGCTGGCTGGGCCCAGGGGCTGAGCTGTAACTCATTTTAATCGATTTAAAGAAATAGATACATGTGGCAGGAGCTCCCGTTTTGGACAAGGTAGCTCTAGACCCTGGAAGGGACTCACGTGGGACAGTGAGTGACAACTGAGTGTCACAGCTCCCGGAACCACTGGAAGTAACCACCCAGCGGATATCCCTGCAGTAACATTCGCAGCCTTGAGCACCCCGGGCCAGACTTCTGGGTAAAGGTGGTAAGCAAGTGGAAGCTAAGGGAGTGAGGCAGAAAAAGGAACAGACAGAAATCCCTGAGGCGGGCGGTGGGGGCAGGGGTAGGGGCTGGGGCTGGGCTGAGGATTGGGCCGCCTCCCGGCTCCCACGGCTGCTCCCTGGGGTGGCGTGCCGCTGCCTGCGAGCAGTGACCCTGCGCGGACAGTGCAGTTTGTCAGCCCCGCAGTGGCTGGACTCTGCTAGTCCCCACTCCCCACAGAGACGGGGCAGGGCTCGCTGCCGCCCTTCAAACTGAAGACCAGAGTGGGGAGTCCTGTCCCCAAACCCCCATGTTTGGCTTGGACAAGCTGGAAAGAAACGCTACGGCCACAGTGAGACCAGCCACGAACTACACCAGCAAGAACTACAGGCAGAAAAGAGCCCGGCCAGGAGGGAGGCATGTCCAAAGAAACAGGACGCAAATCCCAGGGCAGAGCTCGTTAAGGACAGACAGTCCGGGGATGCGAAGTCGTGTAGCCAGTAACGTCATAACAGCTATTACAGCCAATGGGATTGTAGCAGCCGTGCATGGGGCCCGGTGGGCACTAGACTGATTGGGGGGTCGCTGCATGAATTACACGAATGTCTAACCCCTGCACTGCACACCTGAAACTAATATGAAATAATATTGAATGTCAACAGTCACTGAAAAAAAATTTTTATTTAAAAACAAGGTAACCATATATGTTAAATAAGACATAATCTTCAAAATGTACGATGTTTTTAAAAAACAAGATATTTTTAAAAATAACAACAACACAAAGTCAGCACAACAGGAGAACAGAGGAGAGAAGATGAAATGGTACGTGACATTAGCAGGGAGATGGAACAGCCGAGGAGACGGGTCAAGGTCAGGACCGGTGAGGCTTGAGCACCGTGGCAACAAGTGCGGGGCCGTGGCACAGACACAGCTGGGGCCCCACGTTCTCACCTTTAGAGAGAGTTTCTCGCAAGGGCGTAAAGGGACACGGACGGAGATGTCCATTTCAGCAGTTTTCACCGTAGTGACAAAGGGGGAACGACGCAGCCTGCCGCTTCTGGAAGGGAGACGTGCCCTGTGCTTGTGGTGAGTTGTGTGCGGCCAGAAAAGCGAGGTTGCACAGCTCCGCGTGTCCGCGCTCTCAGGGACTGGAAACCGCATGTGTGCAAAAGTGTGGCAACCCGATGTAGTGTTTGTGAAGCTGTCACATTGCAAAGGTGTAAGACCTTTTCTCATCAATTTTTTCCAAGTTCAAAAAAACCAAACAATTGAACTAGACTGAAGATGGAATTAGTGACGTGGAAGAACGGTGTGAGAGGTGCCTGCGGGAGGCAGGGGAAGTGACACAGAAGCAGCCTGAGGGGAGAGTGCAGCGGGGTGACCAGGCCCCCGTGGAGGACAGTCACCAGTCCAGGGAGGCCACTCGATGCGGTTACGGTGGGACGTCCTCCCCGACGAGGGACAGGCCTGAGGACGGGCACCTCCTGCTCCCACAGGGCCGCTGAGGCGGGGCGCGGGGCGCGGGCCCTGGCTTAGCTTCGCAGAGAAACTAGACCTCAGGCCTCCAGGGAGAAGGATCGTCGGGGGGCAGCCTGAGCCAGGCGAGCGGTGGTCGTGGGTGCTGAGGGAGACAGCCCGGACGCCACGCCCGCACCCACATCAGCCACAGCCGGCCTTCCTGGTTTGCAGTTCAAGGGAGCAGCACTCGACGGAGTCAGCTCATGAATTTCACAAGAAACCTGGGATAGAGGCTGGACGCACGTCGGGGACCTGATGACAGGCGGCAGCTCCAGCATGTGCCACATGGACCAGCAGGGCTGTGGTGACAGACACGGCAGGGAGGAGGCGGGGCCCCCTGCCACTCATGTCCACAAGGGATCAGCTTTACCTAAAATTCAGTGTTTAAGTTAGGCCAGATAAAATGGCCCATTTTCTGCTCCCTTTGACCCCAAAAGTGGGCCTTCCCTATAGTTCAATGTACGTAAAACCCAGTGACCATGTCAATGTCTTTTTCACAATCTTTTTTTGAGGAATCTTTTATAAAAGACTATCTTGTGTTGAAAAAACATTCACCAAAAATTCAGTTTCACTTCGTTTATTTTTCCTTCTGTTAAATTCAAGCAAATAAAATGTGAGGCTTTCTGTTGAAAACAGCTTGCCCGGGACCTCCTCCGAATAAGGCGTTTCTGCTTGTCTTCCCGTCGCCGTCCGTCAGGACCTGAGACCGGATGGCGGGCACATGGCGTTGGCCATGCTGTTTCTGGGCTGTTTTAGCGACTTCCAAACTCTTGATACTTGGCCTGAGTTCTTTGTAATGAGTATGAGCAAGTTTACCAAAGACAACAGAGTGGGAATTAATACAAAGTAAATGAAAGAACAGAATCGCCCCCTCCGCCCACAACAACCTCACAGGAGACCCGAGCCCTGAGGACTGCCCGGTGCCACCCTGACCCATGTGGCCACACCCAGATGCTCTGTCCCTGGGGGCGCCCGCCCTGATGTGTGGACCTTCCAGAAGCTGGCGCCTCGCCTCAGGTGCATGTGTGGCTGTGTGAGGGCACCTCAGCCCCTTCCTTGGGAGCCCACGTCCTCTGTCTAACCCTTCTCTGAAATGATGAAAGAAGGCCACGGTTTTCTTATTGTGGTGAAAACATACAGAACATTTACCTTTAAAATTCAGGAGCATTTAATCCAGCCGGTGATGTGCCCCCATCACCACTGTCTGGTTCCAGCACTTGCTCATCAGCCCCCGTGGAGACCACACCCCTGTCAGCAGCCCCCCGCCCCCGGCACCTACAGTCTGCTGTCTGTCCCTGTGGAGTTGCCTGTTCTGGGTGTAGCACAAAAATGGACTCACACACTGTGGCATTTTGCATCTGGCTTCTTTCTGGTGGTTCTCTCTTCACATATTTGGCAAAGCAAAAAATTGGCACCTCCTAGGTTTGTCTACAAAATTTTTCAAGGGCCGAGGGGAGGGATATTTTAGCTCTGTGAAAAATCCCAAAGGCGGGACCTTTGCAGCCCTTCACTCCCACTGCCTTTGAACTGTAGTGGGGCGGGTGCCCCGGCCCCAGTGCCACCAGGTCCCCATCGGTCACCTTCCCACATGTCCACTCGCTCACCTACCTCCTCCACAGTCCCGTGGGCACTTACAACCTCTTGTCGGCCTCACATCTGCAGACTTTGAGGAACACGATCGCCACCAATGCCACTGTCTTCTCCAAGCCCGTCAGGAGGAATGACAAGACTCGAGTCCCTTTGCTGCTCAGTCACCATTAGCTTCACAAAATCATCCCAAAGTGGCGGGCGTTGGCATGGGTGGGTGGAGGGCTCTCTCCTGGCCGCCTGCCCTCAGCTCGCCCCACCCCACCCCCGGAGAACGTGGACACGGCTGCACCGTGTCTGTGAGGCCTCAGCTTCTCGCCAACGTGCTGGGCTGAGCCGCTGCTGCGGGTGCGTGCCAGGGGCAGCTTCGGGCCTCGGGACTGTGCTCCAGCTCCCCTGGGCTGGTGACCCGTCCCCGCCTGTGCCAGCGCCCAGCTCCGGGATCACCCACCTGGTTAGGTCCCAACCGGAGCTGCCTGGGGGACACCCGCCTGCATCTGTTCTGCATGCCTGCCACGGCCTGCGCGAAACCCCTCGGAACTTTTCCCATGACGGGCAGCCCGCCAGCATCCGGAACCTTCCGGCACAGGGACTCTGAGTGCCCTGAAAATGCCCCAAGCGCGTCTGCGCCTCAGGAGTTGCCTCGGGGCCAACAAACGGCTGCTTCTTTCAGCTTCTCCTGACACTTCTCCCCAAACGTGTGTTGTTGGCACATTAAGCTGCTGTGCATCTTGGCTTTCAGACCTCAGAACATTAACAGGTTTCAGATGTGACACGAAAACCTGCTGATCAGGTATGTGGAGGCGATCTCCGAGCTGCAGTGACTTGTAAAACGACGTGCCTGTTATCGCCCTGTAGGGACACCGTGAACAAAGGCTGCCAGTCTGCGCCAGCCGCCTCAGACACAAGCTGCAGCTTCACACGTTACCTGCGTGTGTCGGGTCACAGGCCTACATGGCAGCACCCCCCCTCTGCACC